CCTCCCTGGCGAGCGAAGCGCGCCCGGGGCGGCGCCGGAGGCGCCGCAGGGGGGGGGGGGGCCAGCGCGGATCCAAGAAAGATCCGCGCGGAGAGCCAAAAGTTTCTGTTTATGGCGTGCTGTCTCTTCGAGAAGGAGAGGGGAAGACGTTCTCCTCGTCCTCCTCCCTCCTCCTCCTCCTCCTCCTCCTCCTCCTCCTCCTCCTCCTCTTTCTCCTCCTCCTCCTCCTCCTCGAACGGGACGAGAAAGAATGAAAGGGAAAGAGATGCCCAGGAACCAAGACGACTGGACATGGACCGACGTCTCGCCTCGCGGACTGCCGGGGCGCGGCGGGCCAGAGGGGAGTGGGGCAGGGCGAGGGTGGCGGCCTCCCTGAGCGGGTCGAGGAGGATCGAGGATTCGGCTCGAAGGTCGAGGGAGACAAAAGATCGAGGAAGATCGAAGATCGAGGAAGTTCGAAGATCGAGGAAGACCGAAGATCGAGTTCTCAGACTTCTGGGGGCCTCGGGCGGCCTCGGGGGAGAACTCTGGAGGCTCCAACTGGCGGCCGTCGGGGAACGCAGGGAGGCTTCTCAAAAGAACCTCCCCGTGAGGCAGACTTCGCGGCGGGATGCCTTTCTTGTAATACCGCCCCCCTCGCCCTGCACACTTCTGGTCGCCGCCGAAAGACCCATGCTTTTTCCCAGCTGCCATAGCGTGCCGCGAGGGACTAAGATCCGCGGCAGATGGAAAAGCGCGGCGCACACTGGTGAGAGCAATGACTGGCACCACGGTCCACCTCAAGCGGGAGTTGTGAGCCTCCTGATCGTGGCCCTGTCCAATTTTCTCACCCTCACATTCTTCTTCTCCTTCTCATCGTTCTCTTCCTCCTCCTCATCCTCCTCCTCCGCCATCCTCATCCTCTTACTCCTCCTCCTCCGCCCTCCGCACTCATCCTCCTCCTCCTACTCCTCCGCCTCCTCCGACCACCTCATCCTTCTCCTCCCTCCTCCTCCCTCCATCCATCTTCCTTCTGGAAAACTCCTTCCTGTCGCAGCACCGAACACGTCATTAGGGCGGTCTGGGCGTTTGGCCTCAGACCTCCTCACATTTGGCAATATGCAAGCTTTTGGAATCCCGAAACGGTGCGGTGACGGACCGTGCAGTGACCTCGAAATCCCCCAAGACCTCACCGCACGGTCCGCAGTAGACGGCAGGCGGCAGGCTTCCTCTGAGAATTGGGACTTCGCCCAAGACACCTTGATGATTCGCTGGCCCAACGGGCCACATGCGTGCCAGAATCGCTGGTGAGAGGCTCACATTAGGTCGGGTGTGTCCCCCTACAGGCGGATCTTGGGCGAACAAAAAAAATACCCGTTAAAATACTCCAGAATAAAAAAAAACTCAAAAATAGTCCCCAGACTACTTCTGAAAACTATTTTTGAATACTCCTCCTGTAGAGGGACCAGCCCGACTTAGCAATGCATCCAGCTCGCGCGCGGGGGCCGGCCCCACGGGGGTCCTCCGACGCGAGGTGCCCTCGGCGCCCGTGCCCGCCTCACGCCCGCCCCAGTCTGCCACAGGATGCCGGGGGCTCCTGGGTGACCCCGAGGAGCGCTCTGGGAACGTTTGATCACGAGGCCTGCAAGAGAACCCAGGCGGATCCGACACGGCCGATGAGCGGTCCAAGACGTCCACGATGGATTCCTGGAAGGCCCAGAGGAGGCCTGCAAAACGCCCCAGGAGCGCCCCGGGAGGACACCCAAGAGGGCCCAGCGAAGAAAAGGTCCCTGATTGTCGCAAGGGTTTGGAGGGATTCAGGCATTCTCGCTTTTTGGGGCTTCCAATGCGCCAAGACGGCCCAAGAGGCTCTCAAGATTGCCCCAAGACGGCCCAAGAGCCCCCCAAGACGGCCCAAGAGGCCTCAAAAGGGGTCCGAGAGGAGGACCACGAACAGACATTTCGAGCCTTCTGCCCTGGGACAAACCTCCAGACCACCAGCAGGCCCCCCCATTGGACCTCTCCTTTTGGAAGCCCCCCCGTCCCTCCGTTGTTCCACCCCTCGGAAGCTGACTCCCCTCCTTCCGCGACACGGAAGCTAACCCTCCACACACACACACACACACACACACACACACTTCCAAAGGGAAGGGGGGGGGCTTAGCTACTTCCCGCCCCCTTTGAACCTCCCCTGCCAGAAAGCCCCCCCCGAATGAGCGAAGCGATCCGCCGCCCCATTGCACACGGCGTGCGAGACCACCACCGCATGATCTGCATGGACTGTTTCTCGTGAGCCCTCGCAGCAACGCACTTGTCATACTTGCCCCTGCCTCTGAGCCTCTCCTGTCGGGGGCGGCCAAGAGGGGGGTGTCCAAGAGTCTGATTTCGAGGATGTTCATGCGAGACATCTCGTGAGGGATCTGCTCGAGTCTCCCGTCCCTGCAGCCTGTTTGGCTCGGCAGTGGGCGGGTGGGTTTCATATTCCAGGCGGGATACCGCCTCAGGACGGCGCGGGCCAGCGCGCCGCCGATAGTTATAGCGAAAAGGGTTCGCTTCACATTCTTCATTTCTTTCTCAGCATTTACGTCATAGACGACGGTGACGACCAGGGCTCCAGGGTGCCCTTCAATTCAGATTGGTAGCGAGAGCAGAGTTTCGACCACGGTCAACATTGTGACGATCTGGATCGTCGGCGACAATGTCGAATGGTGCGACTACGACCGGAGGAGCTGCTGGCGGCTCAGCAGCACTACGACTAGACGTCCCGTCATGGGACGGAGAGCCCGACAGACTGCTGGCATGCAAGTTCGATGTCGGGCTCTTCAGCAAGAGCTATAAGACGCAGGACAGGTACGCTGCGGGACCCCAACTGGTGAGAGCACTAGGGGCAAGAACACGCAGACTGGCACAGGCGTGCCCAGACATCGACAAGATCGACGAAGTCAATGACGAGGGTAAGATGACACGATGGCAACGTGTCTTCGGCTATCTCTTGTCAAAGCTCGACCTGTCCAACGTGAACGAGATGGGGAACTCAGCTGAGAAGTTCTTCAACAAGCTCCAGCAGGAGCCGGGTGAGGGCTTTCCCGACTGGACGGCGCGCTGGGAGGCGCATGAGCGCGACCTCTTGTCACAGCTTACGGCGGTGGACAGCTCAGTAGAGGAGGTCATTGCAGCACCTCTGAGGACGCGGTGGCACCTCCGCCGTTCGCGCCTGAGCCCTGTGGCAAGGGCCGAGGTCACCGCGACGGCGGGCGGCGACTACGACTTCGGCAGGACGTAAAAGGCATTGTGCACGAGGTACCCGTTGGAGGCGCTCAAGGAGATCGACGGGGTCCGCGAGAAGAAGGATAGGCGCGCAGGGTTCTTCGGCGAGGCAGAAGAGGCCGAGCAGGAGGACCACGACCTCGAGGACAGGTCCGAGATCGCGGACATCGTGGACCAGCTGGTGAACTTAGCTGATGAAGAGGACACGACCCTCTTCGAAGACGCCGAGCATGCCGACGACTACGAGGACGGCATCCACGCGGAGTTCAAGCAGCTGGGCAGGAACTTCGAGGACGCGAGGGACCTCATCAGGAAGCTCAAGGTGGCGAGGGACTACTACCCCGCGCTCGCTCCTCGATCGGCGGAGGGACCCCCTCGTCCTCGACAACTACGTGATGGCCAACGCTCCTCTCGCCAAGATGGTCCACGATCCTCTCGTCAGGACGGTGGTCAGGAACCTGCGCGTGACAGGCGCGGGATGAGATGTCTCGCTTGCCGCACGTTCGGACACCAGGCGAAGGACTGCCCCGAGAGGACGAAGGACCGCGGCAAGCCCCCGCACAACGACATGACCTCGTTTGCGCTTCTAGAGCTCGGCGACCTGGTGCTCCTCTTGGACGACATGTGCGGCATCTGGGCGATCCTCGACTGCGGGGTCACGAGGAGCCTCATCGGCGTGACGATGGCCGAGCACCTCATCTACGACATGGAGGAGAAGCACAACATACTGTTCGACGTAGTGGAGCGGACGCGGTATTTCACTTTCGGCGACGGCAGGCGCAAGAGCTCGATGGGCACTATGAAGGGTGACATCTTTCTCGGCGACGGCCAGGAGGAGATCGAGATCTCGATCATGGACAACGAGGTGCCACTGCTGATCGGCATGGACGCGCTGGGAACTGATCATACCAGCGCTCTCATCGACTGCGGGAACGGCTACCTGATGCTGCCGAAGATCTCACACCAAGTCTTCCAGTGCCGAAGGATGCCCAGTGGTCACCTGGCCATCAACGTGACGACTCCGACGCGGTGGCAGAACGTCCCCCAGAGCCTCCCGAACATCGTCGGGATCATACAGTGCAACGCCCTGGAGGACGAGGCTGAGACGTCCGCGGTCGCGGACGCGGCGGTGCTGGCGCTGGCGCCCGCGGCTGGCGCGGGGGCCTCGAGCTAGGGACAGCACCCCCTGGTGGATCCGAGAAAAGTTCTTTCCTCCAGTCCATCGGGGGGGCCCAAGAAGACTCCAGAAAAGTCTCACACGCTCGAGAGATCCTCAGACCCCCCGAAGTTCGAAGACGCCGACAGGGGTCAGGATGTCCTAGCTGCACCCCCTGGGCCTACTCCTACACCCCCAAGCCTCTCGAGATCTCCAACAGCATCTCCTACGAGGGCATCTCGGGGACCATCTTCGAGGACTAGGAGTTCGAGAGCAACGATCAGAGAAACCGAGACATCTCCAAGAGCGCAGACGAGTACGAGTACGAAACTCCTGACACGGCAATCTGAGCCTCCTCCCGATCCTGATGATTCTGATGCGTACCGAGCTCTTTCGGCTCGAAAGGGCGTTCCATCAGGAGGAGATCCTCAATCTTCATCTACGCTTCCATATCCAGCGGATGTCATGCCGCCGCGGCACCATCTCGTCGCCTTCGGGCGTGCCACCGCCGCCATCCCCTACTACGGAGCGTCCGCGAGATCGCAGAACGACTCCTTTCATGTCAAAGCGGACGACAACAGCCGAGGCGAGTGCGTCGATGTCAGCCCAGATCAAGTCCGAGGCCAGGGCCATCCAAGGCGAAGTTGCTTCTGTACCTCCAAAGGATGTGATCACGAATGCTGCTGGAGCGAATCCGACCGCTACCCTCGTCCAGGCGGCCAAGTCCAAGGCGCCAGGATTTCAGAGGTGCGGCTACTGCGGCCAACCGGGTCGCAAGCGGAACGGGTGTTCGTGCACAGGAGGCCAGACTCACAAGTGTCTGCTGGAGGACCCCGGGTACCCGTCGCTAAACTTCGCGCAGAACTACCGTCCACCTCGTCGGAAGAACGACCAGCCACAAGCGGGCCTCCCCGAGTACACGATTCCCAAGTCGGCGAGCCCCGAGGTCAGTCGGCTGTGCAGGTCCGAGGTGATCTACATGAGGTGGAGGCGGATGCTGTCCAAGGTCCTGAAGAAACTGGCGAACGATCCGCCCTCGGAATCCTTCGAGATGCTGGACGACTCACCCGAGAAGGAGATGGCCAGCAAGAGGGGGCGCGAGTGTACCTGACCAGCGAGGACCTGGACTCCATGCAAAAGGCGGTCGACCAGTACGACCTGGACTACACGAAGGAGATTGGCGACGATGTCAACTTCCTGTCCCGCAACGGCCGCTACGACTTGCTCGAGGTCTGCACGCCTCCGATGTCCCGTCTCTCCCAGGCGGTGCTCGACCTAGGTGGAGCCGCCTTCCGAGCTGGGGTACACAACGGGTTCGACCTGGCGACGAAGACGGGAGTGCGACGACTCGCTCTGTGGATTCGCCAACATCGGCCTCGACGTATCGTCATGAGTCCTCCGTGCACCGCGGACTGCCAACTCCAGAACTAGAACCAGAAGACCCCAGAGGAACGCGAACGTCTACGTAAAAAGGTGCAACAGGCTCGTCGAATACAAGCAGGGTGCGAGACCATCATGTCGGTCGGGCTCCAATCCCGTGGGACCGAGATCGACCTGGAGCAGCCGCAGAGATCCCATAGCTGGGGACGTTCGGAGGCCCTGAAGCGAATTTGGGAGCAGACCTACGAGACGCTGGTGACTGGCTGTGCTTACGGCCTTCGCTGCCCCCGCAGCGGCCTCCTCCTGCCCAAGGTCTGGAGGATCTGCTCCACCGACCCCGAGCTGCAGAAGGCCATAGGCAAACGCTGCAGCAATCGCCGTGGTCGGCATGACAACCACGAGCACGGTGAGATCATCGGAGGAAAGGTGGTAGCGGCTACAGCGTTCTACCCTGAGGCGCTGTGCAAGGCCTGGGCGAAGCACGCTCTGCGTGCGGGAGGTGGTACTACAGCTGGAACCTCAGCCCTCTTGGCGACGGACCAGGATACTGACGACGGCATCTTTGAGGGCATTGATGCAGACGGCGACCAGGAGATGGAGGACCAGCAGGTGTCAGACGAGGAGCTCGACGAGAATGACCTCAGGGAGCTCTCCAAGGACGGCAGCACGCTGAGCACCAAGGAGGCCCAGGAGATAGAGCACCGTCTCAGCCGACTTCATCGCAATCTGGGCCACCCCAGCGTGCGCACCATGTTCAAGATTCTCAAGAACTCAGGCGCGAGCATCCAGGTTCTGAAGATGGTCAAAAAGTAAGTGCCATGCCTGTGACTCCTCGGTGCTGCCGAAGGCCGTCAGAACAGCTGCTGGCATGGACATTCCCGAGGCCTTCGAAGTAATGGGGAGCGATGGTCTCGAGTGGACCGACCCTGTTGACGACACGACCTACCTGTTCACGCTGAACCTCGACGAGAAGGCTGGACTCACGCAGGTCTTCAACCACGGCGACAAGTCCCAGAGGTCCGGCAACCGATCAGCATCGGACCTCCTCGAGACCTGGAGATCCTGGACGAATCACTACCGCGCTCCTCGCCTCATTCGCTGCGACGCTGAGGGCTGTCATCGAGCGGAACTTACCAAAAAAACTGGTGCAGTACGCGCGGGATCGAGATGTTCATCGCTCCTGGCGAAGCGCACTGGCTCATGGGCAAGGTTGAGCGCCGGATCCAGTTGTTCAAGCGGACTCTTACTAAGTTCAGGAACCAGAATCACGACTGCAACATCGACGAGGCCATCAGCCATATCATACATGCGATCAACGATCTTGACAAGGTCGGGAACCATTCCCCCTTCGCACATGCCTTCGGTACTGGCGGCCATCGGGGCTCGGGCAACCCCTTTGCCATCGTGGACGACAGCCACGGAGAGTCCCGGGAGCAGAGGCGACTTTTGGCACGTCAGGGCTTCATAGAGGTGGAGTACTCAGAGCGACGTCGACATGCAGAACATGCTCGCAGCCGCGTGACGACTCGCTGGTACACCGGCGAGCACTGCTACTACTGGCGAAAAGGCCGTGGTCCTGTCAAGGCAACCTGGTATGGTCCAGCCCGCGTCTTAGTTCAAGAACAACGGGTACTTGCAGGCTCGACACGCCCAACTTCTGTCGCGTGGATCTCGCACGGCGATGTTCTACTTCGATGTGCTCCTGAGCAACTGCGCCCAGCTACGGAGGCCGAGCGAATGGTCGTGGAGCTCAACAACATGGAGGGACGCGGGGCTACCATGTCCGACTTGATGGAGGTCGCCCGCCGCGGAACGTTCGAGGATCTCACCAACGAGAGCCGACCACACATCCAGAACTTCGAACCACAGGCGATCCAGCCGCCCGTGTCACCCGAGGACCACGACGATCGGATGGACGAAGAAGCTGCTACACCTGATCCCTCAGACGGACGTTCGGAACCAGCAGGCGAGCCGACGCCACCTGAATCGTCTCTGCCTTCCCTTTCAAGTATCTCCTCCATCGAGCAGCCTGTCCCGAAGCAGTCTCGGTTAAGTTCACCGCCCAGAGTGAGCTCAGCCACACCTGCTGACCCACCTCATCGGCGGTGGCGCCTGCCCTCCAAGGGCGACGAGACCACCTACCGACAGTGACCTGCTGAACGACGACAGGACCGACCTGGGCCCTACTCTGAGGGCAAGCCAACAGTCGAAGACCACGATGAGGAACTTTTCTCTCGGACCACCTTCGACGGGAACCGGGGCGGCAGCGACTTCGAGCTGATCGACGAGAACATGATGGTCTACTACGAGATGGTCAAGTCCGAACTTGCGGACAGTCAGGGCGGACGCCGTCTCACCTCTCAGATGTTGGACTGTTTCGTTGCCAACCAGAAGCGGAAAGATAAGATCGAGTTTCACTGGGGAAAGCTTTCCCCCTCCGAGAAGACGGAGTTCCGCCAAGCCATGACGAAAGAGGTCGCCAACTGGAAGCAGCACACAGGTCTCCGACGCGTACCCGTCTCCGAGGTCAAGGATCCCGCGGACGTGATCAGGTGCCGCTGGGTGCTGACGCGCAAGAGCGATGGGACCGCAAAGGCGCGCCTCGTCCTCCTCGGCTACCAGACCAAGGACATCGGACAGGAGCCGACTGCTTCCCCAACGGCCTCGCGCCGCGCCCGGAATCTGCTCCTCACGGTCGCGGCCGCCAACTCCTGGACCATCGTCAAGGGCGACGTGACCAGCGCGCTCCTGCAGGCGAACGACCTAGAGAAGGATCTCTTCGTGGAAGCCGACGAGGCGCTGTCCGCCGAGTCTGGCGTTCGATCTGGTCAAGTGCTACGCGTGGTGAAGCCGGGCTACGGCATCGGCGAGGCTCCTCGCAAATGGCGGCAGACGGTGAAGCAGGACTTCGCCAAGCTGGGATTACAGGCGTGCGATCTCGAACCATGCCTGTGGAGTCTACGCTGTCCTGAAACCAAGACGCTGCTGGGGCTCATCATGTGCCACGTGGATGACTTCATCCTTTGCGGTGCCCGAGAACATCCTGCATGGCGGAAGGCGCTGAAGAGCATCAAGGACCTCTACACGTGGGGCACCTGGGAGGACATGGACGACGAGATCGACTCCATCGAGCAGTGTGGGGTGACGATCGAGAAGAACGAGAAGGGTTTCTTCCAACACCAGCAGAACTATATTGACAAGCTGAAGGAGATCTTTCCAAAGTACCCGAAGGCCAAGGGCAGCGACCGATTGACCGAGGCGGACCAGAGTACCTTGAGAACTTGGTGTGGAGCTCTCTCGTGGCTCGGAGTCAATACACTTCCCTGGGTTTCCGCATGGGTTGCAGATGTTCAAAGCAAGATCCCCAATGGTGACTACAAGCTCTTTTCGATAGCGAACAACATCACCAAGATGGTCAAGGCCAATCGGACTGACGGTATTCAGTTCTTTCGCCACCAACTGCCAGGGTGCGGACGAGGTGGCTCCTCCGATTTTCGTATCTACACCTGGTGCGACGCTGCCTGGGCCAGCCGACCTGACGGACATTCCCAAGGCGGTCACGTTACAGCTCTCAGCTCAGCAGAAGGACCGTTTCAGGAGGCATGCGACTTCACTGTCTTAGACTGGGGATCTCGCAAGCTCAAGCGTGTCGCCAGGTCCAGCCTGTCTGCGGAGATCCAGGAGGCCAGCGATGCGGAGGGCGAGCAGATGATGGTTCGCCTGGTGCTCTACGAGGTGCTCTTCGGGTCGGTCGACCTCCAGAATCGTGCTGCTGCTCTGCTTCACATTCCAGGAGCTCTCGTGACTGATTGTAAGGCGTTCTACGACGGGGTGGTGAAGTCCGAGTCGGCCGGCTTGGGCCTCGACGAGAGGAGGACGGCCATAGAGGCGCTCGCCTTGCGACGGGCCCTCGAGGAGGGCAAGACAATTGCGCGCTGGGTACATAGCCATGCCCAGCTGGCCGACGGCATGACCAAAGCCAGCCAGCAGGCCTTCAATGTGCTCCATGCTTTCCTGAAGAGCCAGCGGTGGAAGATCGTTCACGATGAGAGGTTTCTTTCGGCTCGCAAACGGTCTGCCCTTGGTAAAGGGATCTTCGACGAGACGACGGAGACCGACCACAGCGAGGCCAAGAAGATCCTGGAAGGCCGGAGGCGGGTCCAGCCCGCGACTCGCGACGTGGCCACGGCAGGTGCCACGCCCTCCGAGCTCGAGCAGATTTCTTTTCCCCTTGTCTGATTTCGAGGATGTTCATGCGGGACATCTCGTGAGGGGTCTGCTCGAGTCTCCCGTCCCTGCAGCCTGTTTGGCTCGGCAGTGGGCGGGTGGGTTTCATATGCCAGGCGGGATACCGCCTCAGAACGGCGCGGGCCAGCGCGCCGCCGATAGTTATAGCGAAAAGGGTTCGCTTCACATTCTTCATTTCTTTCTCAGCATTTACGTCATAGACGACGGTGACGACCCGGGCTCCAGGGTGCCCTTCAATTCAGAAAGAGGGGGGGGCGCAAATCATGGCCGGAAGCATGTGCGCGGCCAAGGGGGGGGGGCCAGGAACGTAGTGAAAGAAGCAGATGCGCCATGCAATCAGGGGAAATATCATGGCCCCAGCCGTGATGTCCACCCCCCCCTACACCCTGCGAAATGCTTAAGAAATCATGGGTTAAGAAATTCATAGTCTCAGAACTTGAATAAAAACCCAACATTTCTATTAAAATCTTAAGATTTACATTGAAACGTTAAGAATAATCGAGACTCTGGCCGAAAACTCAAGTTTTCTTAAGCATCGCCTAAGGTGTAGTCATCACCCCCCTCTTTGCCGCCCCCGATCCTGGGGCCCGCCCCGCGAGTCGTTCCCTCCACCGGTCCGAGGGTCCCAGGCGCGGCCGGGGCGCCCGCTGGCCACCATTTTTATCGCCCCAAGAAGGAGCCCCGATTCTCGTGTGCCAGTTTCGGGTCGGGCGAAAGGGGGGGATAGCAAAGGGGGGGTTTGAGAATCAGCTCACGTAGCTGATTTTCCCGGCGCCTCCCGGCGCCGGGAGCGGCCATGTATCGAGGAATGGGCCCCTCGGTGAGGCCGAAACCAGCTGCATGCAGCAAATTTCGTAACCCCCCCTTTCCCAATCCCCCCCTTTCGCCCGACCCGACAGTTATCTGGGCGCCGCTGGGCCCTCGCAGAAGCCTCCCCCCCCAGCACGCGCGCAAAGGCATTCGAATGGTGTCGACGTGCGGCGCGAGGGGAACACCTGGTCGAATGAACTGAAGGTGCTGAAGCTCTGTGGTTTCCTGAAGATTTCGCAGGAGCGCGAGCGCAAGTTTGGAAACCTATATGTTTCCTCCACGGTTTCGGGACAGTCGCTCTTGAAATCCCTCGGAACCTCAGGTTTTTATAAATTTCAACATGCGCGCGACGACGCGCGCGCGTGCACTTCGCCCCTTCTTTTGCAAAGGGTTATTGCGACAGCACGCGCGCAAAGGCATCCGAACGATTCCGACACGCGCGCGCGAGAGGCCCGTGTGGTAGCAAATTATGAATATGTTGAAGAGCCAATGGTTTCTCGAAGACTTTGCAAGAGCCCGAACGCAAGCATGTTTGTTTGTTGCTGCGAAACCATGTGTATAATTGGTTTCTGGACACTCGATTCTGAAATCCCTACGAAACCTGAAAGGTTTTGAATGAGTTGTGCATGCGCGCGCGTGCATTTTGTCCTTTTCCTGGTGCAACGGATTCCGGAGAGCGGACGTTGTTTTTACAAACGAGCGCGCACGCTGAAACTTTTCGCGGAGGATGACGGGGGGGCCTTCTGGTTTAGCTGGGATGTTATGAATTCATGAACTCGTATGCAGGACGGATGATGGCGCAAAAGTATATGAAAATTGCAATACGAACACGGAGTCCGTCACGTCCAGGGAGGTAGACCCGATGACTCTTTTAGAAAGAGATTGTGTAAGTGGTGCAATATACGGGGTACAGTCTTCGTGGTGCAACCCACCAAAACTCGCAACGAATTGCAAAGCCCACTGGTAACGCAATCATCCCACCCACCCACCCGCAACTTGGTCTGCTAAACCATGCGACGGCGATTGCGATGAGTTTTCGGCGTTGGCTGGTGCATCTCTGCGGCCGCGCTAGCCCGCACACGCTCGCGCGCGCACCGGCCGGCTAGTGCGGTGCGACCAATGCGGCCGCGGTGGCGCTGACCGCTGGGCACTTCCCAACTGGCACTGCAGTGCGAGTCGGTGACTTGGGCAGGCGCGGTATCATGACGGCGCCGACAAGAATAGACACGATGATCCGAGTTCCGACGATGGTGACGATAGTGGCGATGACGACGGCAAGGCTAATGACCGCGCCGCCGTTGATCACGTCCGCCGATAACGATGACGATGGCCTCGTGTCGGCGATAAGGTTTTGGAAGATGTTCGACGCGCGCGCGCGGCCGACGCGCGCGAGTGGCCCGCGCGGCGTTATTTGACGCGGATCGCGCCCCCCCCAGCACGCGCGCACGGGCGTTCGGGTGAATTCGACATGCGGCGCGAAAGGCCCGTTTGGCAGAATCCGATGACAATGTTGAAGAACCAAATAACTTGTGATGAAATCGTAAGAGCGCACGCACATACTTTAAACGCATGTTGCAGAGCCATAGTCTTACGTGTTTTCGGGACACTCCTTCTTCAAATTATTACGAAACCGATGGTTGTTGACAGATTTCGGCACGCGCGTGCGCGATGACGCGTGCGCGCACTTCGCCATGTTTCTGCTTCTTGCCACGGGATGCTTGCGACAGCACGCGCGCGATGGCGTTCGAACGACTTCGACATGGGCGAGCGAAAGGCCCGCTTGGCAGCACGATGTGAAAATGTTGCAACATATTTTTCTCAAGAGAATCTGCAAAAGCGCGAGCGCATGCTTGTTGGAAAATATGCGTTGCGAACCCATTTGCTGTTTATGTTTTCGGGGCACCTGATTCTAAAACGCTCGCGAAACCGATTTGAAGTTTTGACGGGATTCCGGCACGCGCGCGCAACGACGCGCGCGCGTGCACTTCGTCGCATCGGTTGCAAGAGATCATTGAAAACTGCTGACTTTTGATGAACGAGCGCACCAGTTTAGCTGGGATGCTACGAACGCATACTTAGGGTGGACGACGGGGCCGAATCACAAATAAATTGCACATCCCCAGGGGGGGCGACAAGTCCGGGGGGGCGATCCGAATTTCCTTTCAGAAAGAGAACTCTACGCAGCGCAATCTACGCGGCGCAATCTACGCAGCCCAATTCACCCCGCCGACCTTGAAGTTGTCAGCTCCAATGCACGCGCAAACATCTCACCCACTTACCCGCAACTTGGCATGCAAAACCCACGCGACGACGATTGCGATGAGTGCTTGGCGTTGGCTGATGCATCCCTGCGGCCGCGCATGCTAGAACGGCGCGACCGACGCGGCCACGCGGCGGCGATGACGACGACGGCGTGGCCAAATGACGGCGCCGACGTTGATCACGCCCGCCGATGACGATCCCCGCGTCGGCGATGAAGGTTTCGGGGGGAGTTCGACATGCGCGCGCGGCCGACGCGCGCGAGTGGCCCGCGCGGCATTATTTGCCACGGATAGCGCCCCCAAGCACGCGCGCAAGAGCGATGGGATGAGTTTGACCTGCGGCGCGAAAGGCCCGTTTGGCAGAACTATACGGCGATTTTGGTTGACTCACGAATCTGCCAGAGCGCGAGCGCGGGTTTTTTTTGAAAACCCTCGTTGCGAAACCACGTGAAGTTATTTGTTTCGGGGCACCTGATTCTCACATGCTTACGAAACCTACGGTTTTGAACAAAAAAAAACGGCACCAGCGCGCGACAACGCGCGCGCGCGTGCGCTTCGTCTCTTCCGTTGCAAAGGATTGTTGGACACTACTTTTTTGGCGATAAACGAGTGCGCGCGCAAAATCCTTGTCCAAAGGATGAGGGGGCGCGCGAACTGCGGCCTGGCCGGGGAGGCTCGAAGTCATGATACCGGAGCAACACAAATCCGACGTTTTGGGCTACAAGACTATAGAGCTATAATTTGGGCTACAGGGCTATAGGGCTGCAGGGCTATACGGCTACAGGGCTATAGAGCTGTATGGCTATAGGGTTATAGGAGCTATGTGGCTATAGGGCTAAAAGGCTATAAGGGCTATATGGGTTATCCAGTTATCCGGCTATCTGGCTATTGGGCTCTGGGGCTATAGGGCTATAGGGCTATAAGGCTATAGGGCTATATGGCTATAGGGCTGTAGGGATATAGGGATATAGGGTTATAGGACGATAGGGCTAAAGGGCTAGAAGGCTATAGGGCTATAGAGATCTAGGGCTATAGGGCTCTTTGGCTATTGGGTCATTGGACTATAAGGCTATAGGGCTATAGGGCGATAGAGCACCAGGGCACCCGGGCACCCGAGCACCCCCGGGCACCTCCGGGCACCCCCGAGCACCTCCGGGCACCCCCGGGCACCCGGGCATCGTGAGGGGGTGAGATCGAAGTGGAACGGAGAGCCCCCCTACCAGGAAATCGGTTTCGGTTTCGTGTTCGTGCGTGCCGTGCGTGCGGGCGAGGCGAAGCTGCGTGGGCGGGCGAGAAGAAAGTCTCCTCCGGCTGAGGCGCGGCCGGACCAGATGTTTCCTGACCGGGGGCCAGTGGCGCGCGGTGTCCCGCCGGCGTCCCCCTGGTGTCCCGCCCGTGTCCCACCTCCGGCAGAGGCGCGGCCGGACCAAATGTTTCCCGACCGGGGGCCGGTGGCGCGCGGTGTCCCGCCGGTGTCCCGCCGGTGTCCGTCGGTGTCCCGATGATGAAAGTGATGATGTCGATGATGTCGATGATGTTGATGATGATGATGGTGATGGTGGTGATGATGATGTTCCGATGATGATGATGATGATGATGATGATGATGATGATGACAATGTTGATGATGATGATGGTAATGATGTTGATGATGATGAGGACGGTGGTGATGATGGTGATGGTGGTGATGATGATGGTGTCCCGATGATGCTGATGATGGTGATGATGGTGGTGTCCCGATAATGATGATGATGGTGATGATGATGATGATGTGATGACGATGTGATGATGATATGATGATGATGATGATGATGATGATGATGATGATGGTGTCCCAAAGATGATGATGAGGTTGATGATG